ACCGGCTGCCTCCTGCACGCACCCTGCTGGGGCTCAAGCCTGAATCCCCAGCACGTGCCTTGACCGGGAATCAAACCACGATCTCCTGGATCCTAGGTCAAAGCTCAACCTCTGAGCCGTGCCGGCCAGGCGCCACAGGTATTTTGATAGGGATTGCATTGAATATATAAGATTGCTTTGGGATGACCTTTATTATTTTTTTAAATATATTTTTAATGATTTTAGAGAGAGAAAAAGGGAGAGGGATAGAGAGATTTCTGAAACATTGACGTGAGAGAGACACATCAATTGGTTGCTGTGTAGCCTGCAACCGAGGTACGAGCCCTCAGCTGGAATCAATCCCAGGACCCTTCAGTCCACAGACCGAAACTGAGCCAGACTAGCTAGAGCTGATCTTTATTTCTTATATCTGCCCCTGCTCTCATCTCTACTATCACTGTGACAATTCAGGATCTAATCATCTCCAGCTTAGTCTCTTGGAATAATTTGTAACTGGCCTCCCTACCTCTGGTCTCTCCCCTTTCCAGTGCACTCTCCCCACTGACCACCAGAATGACCGATATAAAATTCCCTGATCCAAACTCTTCAATGACTCCTTGGCTAGGAAAATATCAAGAACACACACACATACTCACACTTGATCTACTGAGACTCGCCTCTGTGCCTTTGCTCACACAAGCCTGCCACTTGGAATATTCCTACTAACCAATTCTTTCTGTAGGTGACATCTCCTCCAGGAAGCCCCATGACTCCTTTTGTTTATGTCCCAACTAAGGCTGGGATTAGTGCTCTTCTTCCCGTTTCCATTTCTGTTATGGGCACTCACCCAAATTCTGTTGTAATTGGCTGTACACTTGACTGGCCCCACGCTAAACTCTGAACCATACAAGAGCAAAGACTGTATCATTCCCTTCTGTGTCCCAAGTTCCTAAAACAGGGACTGACATATCATGCCGACTCTGAATGTTTGGTTACTACTGAATGACCTTGTCATCCGGAGACTCTGTACGTACCTTGTCATGAGAGGATGGCAGAAGGTGTGTGTTGGTGCAGAGTTGGTCTCTGTCAGAGCTAAAGATGGTGGAAGGGAAAGGAGAGGGATGAGAACTCTGAATTTGAGGGTCAGAGCAGAACAGAATAGGGCTGAATGGTTTAAAATCCCCCTACCCTGCTGGGATGTTGTCAAACCCTCACTCTCTCCCTCTACAGGCTCATCTTTCTCCCAGGACAAAGGGCATCTCCCCTGAAGCCTCACTTACCTAGTGTCCGTGCCTTGGGTCTTGGTGAAGAACTCTGGAAGTGGAGGCCCCAGGCAGAGAAATTACTACCCCCCAATTACATAGCCAGGAAGAGATGTGGCTGGGGAGGAAGGGGCTGAGGTGGTCCTTAGCTAGCAGTGAGGAGTGGGTGCTGGGTTAGTGGGTCGGGGGTAGTCTGGCTGTGACATGGGCACAGACTCCTGGAGAAGTCAGCTACGGTTGGGAGGGAGTCAGGAACTGGAAGTAGAGTTATTGGAAAGAGTCCCTGGACACAGTGGTCCTGACGTGGGGGGATCACCGTGTTTGAATATCTGAGTCCCTTGGTCTTGTGTCTGTTTTTCTTTGGTGGGCTCGGGGTTCATGTGGTAGCCAGCAGTAAACAAGGCCTCATCGGTGAGTTCTGTGCTGACCCGGGTCAGGAATTCCTCAGAGCGGGACAATGAAGCCTTCTGATAAAGGGAAAGTCGGAAGGGCTCAGCCTGGGAGTCCCCACGTGGGAGCACGGGCCTGGCGGCTCCCAGGCTGGGGCTGCGGCCTGAGTCTGCTGGTGAAGGGCTGGGCCTTGAGGTTTGGCCCAGGAGGCCCTGGGAGTGGGCCTGGGGCCGAGCGCGGGGGTCTGTGGGCTAGTCTAGCGGGGGGCCCTCGGCCTAGGAGCTCTGGCTTCACTTCGCCCCTCCAGCAGCCGCCTCCAATGCTCACCAAACCTCCACTCAGGGACGCCGCAGCCTGGGACAGCCCGCTGCCCCGCTTCTCCTTATTCCGGGCGGGCGCGGATTCCATCCCCCTGGGGGCGGGTGGAGCCTCCGTGAGGCTGAGAAGCCAGCCCACCTCCCGAACCCCTTCCGGCACCGTTCCCCACGCCCAGGTTTAAAGGCGGCCTCCAGACAATCCATCCCGTCTCAGTCCCCCCTGGGGGGTGGCGGGGGCTGGGGGCTGGGGTTGAAGAAAGTAACAAAATCGTTGCCTTAAATCTCCCCGGGGTGAGAAGTTCCACAACAATCCCCTCCCCCGCTTCGCCCGGGGCTTTTCTTTCCTTCCCACCCAAAGCCCCTCCCGAGGTTAGGCGGCCGGCTCGCCGCCCCCGACCTGGCAGATGGGTTGAAATCCTGGGCTACTCGGCAGCAGGGAAGGCGGGGAGGTTTAAGGAGACCCTATTATAGGTCGCTGGCGACGGGGAGGTGAGGTGGGGGAGGAAGGAAGGGAAGAGGGGGAACGGGGGGTCGCGCCGCTACCCGTCGCTATAAAACCCTTGGCGGTTCGGCAGCCCGTTGCCAGGAGATTAGGGATTCTAGAACCCA